GCCTCTCGCTCGAAGATGTGAAGCGGGAAATCTTACAAGAAGATTTCCGCCATCGCGAATTGGCAGGTCCCGATGGTGTCGTAGTTGCAAGCATGGGCCGTGGGCGCGGCCGTGGAAGGAGCAGAGGGCAAGAAGGCAGATTTGGCAGCAGTAACTTCAATGGAGGCCGTGGTAATGAAGGATATGGCAACAACAACAACAATAATGGCTACGGGCGTGGACGCGGTCGATTTGATGGCGAATGCCACTTTTGCCACAAGACCGGCCACATGTGGAGAGATTTCTTTAGATTGCCTGATAGATGGACCCCTTCTCAAGGCCAAGAGGGCAGAGGAGCAAGGGGAGGAAGAAGCAGAGTTCGTGGAGGTCGTGGTGGTCGTGAAAGTGAAGCGGCAAGCATGAAAGGTGGAGACTACAAGACGGACTCAAGTGAAGATCGATACCCGGGCCAATTCCTCTTTGTTTCCACGCAAGCGGCAGCTGGAGCAGGAGGTGTATAAGGCTTTGAGGAGCCAGCTACTGTGGGAAAGGTCACCCTTCACTCTCTGGACTTTTGGGTGATCGATAGCGGCGCCACCTATAGCATAACACCTCGTGCGGACTTGCTCACCAAACTCGAACCGTCACCAATCAAGCATGTTCTCCCTTGGCGCTGTCCTCAATCCCTTGGCACTGTCCTCTCTTCCTTTGGGCTGTCGTCTCTCACTTGGCGTTGTTGTCTCACCCTTGGCGCTGCCCTCTCTCCCTTGGCGCTGCAATCTCTCCATAGGCGCTGCCCTCTCTCCCTTGGCGCTGCCCTCTAACCCTTGGTGCTGCCCTCTCTCCCTTGGCGCTGCCCTCACCCCCTTGGAACTCCCCTCTCTCCCTTGGCACTTCCCTCTCTCTCTCGGCGCTGCCTTCTCTCCCTTGGTGGTGTCCTCTCTCCCTTGGTGCTGCCCTCTCTCCCTTGGCGCTGCCCTCTCTCCCTTGGTGCTACCCTCTCTCCCTTGGCGCTGCCCACTCTCCCTTGGCGCTGCTCTCTCTCCCTTGGTTCTGCCCTCTCTCCCTTGGTGCTGCCCTCTCTCCAATGGCGCTGCCCTCTCTTCCTTGGAACTGCCCTCTCTCCCTTGGGGCTGCCCTCTCTCCAATGGCGCTGCCCTTTCTTCCTTAGCACTGCCCTCTCTGCAATGGCGCTGCCCTCTGTCCCTCATCCCTGCCCTCTCTCCCTTGGCGCTGTCCTCTCTTCCTTGGTGCTGCCCTCTCTTGGTGCTGCCCTCTCTCCCTTGGCGCTGCCCTCTCTCCCTTGGCGCTGCCCTCTCTCCCTTGGCGCTGCCCTCTCTCCCTTGGTGCTGCCCTCTCCCCCTTGGCGCTGTCCTCTCTCCGGTGGTGCTCCCCTCTCTCCCTTGCCTCTCCCCTCTCCCTTGGCGCTGCCCTCTCTCCCTTGGCCCTGTCTTCTCTCCCTTGGTGCTGCCCTCTCTCCCTTGACGCTGCACTCTCTCCCTTGGCGCTGCCCTCTCTCCCTTGGCACAGACCTCTCTCCCTTGGTGCTGCCCTCTCTCCCTTGGCGCTGCCCTCTCTCCCTTGGTGCTTCCCTCTCTCCCTTGGCACTGCCCTCTTTTCCTTGGAGCTGCCCTCTCTCCTTGGTGCTGCATTCTCTTCCTCGGTGCTGTCGTCTCTCGCTTGGCGCTGTCCTCTTTCCCTTGGCGCAATCCTCTTTCCCTTGGCGCTGTCGTCTCTCACTTGGTGCTGTCCTCTCTCCCTTGGCGCTGCCCTCTCTCCTTTGGTGCTGTCCTCACTCCCTTGGCGCTGTCCTCTCTCCCTTGGAGCTGTCGTGTCTCACTTGGCGCTGTCGTCTCTCCCTTGGCGCTGCCTTCTCTCCCTTGGCGCTGCCCTCTCTCCCTTGGCGCTCCCCTCTTTCCCTTGGCGCTCCTCTCTCTCCCTCGGCACTGCCTTCTCTCCATTGGCGTAGTCCTCTCTCCCTTGGTGCTGCCCTCTCTCCCTTGGTGCTGCCCTCTCTCCCCTTGTGCTGCCCTCTCTCCCTTGGCGCTGCCATCTCTCCCTTGGCACTGCCCTCTCTCCCTTGGTGCTGCCCTCGCTCCCTTGGTGCTTCCCTCTCTCCCTTGGCGCTGGCCTCTCTCCTTTGGTGCTGCCCTCTCTCCCTTGGTGCTTCTGTCTCTCCCTTGGCGCTGCCCTCTCTCCCTCGGCGCTGTCCTCTCACCCCTGGCGCTGTCCTCTCTCCCTTGGTGCTGTCCTCTCTCCCTTGGCGCTGCCCTCTCTCCCTTGGCGCCGGCCTCTCTCCCTTGGCGCTGCCCTCTTTCCCTCGGCGCTGTCCTCTCTCCCTTGGGGGTGTCCTCTCTCCCTTGGCACTGTCCTCTCTCCCTTGGCGCTGCCCTCTCTCCCTTGGCACTGTCATCTCTCACTTGGCGCTGTCATCTCTCACTTGATGCTGTTTTCTCTCCCTTGGCGCTGCCCCTCTCCCTTGGCACTGCCCCCTCTCCCTTGGCGCTGCCCTCTCTCCCTTGGCGCTGCCCTCTCTCCCTTGGCGCTCCCCTCTCTCCCCTGGCGATGTCCTCTCTCCCTTTGCACTGCCCTCTCTCCCTTGGCGCAGCCCTCTCTCCCTTGGCGCTGCCCTCTCTCCCTTGGTGTTGTCCTCTATCCCTTAGCCCTGCCCCCTCTCCCTTGGCGGTGCCCTCTCTCCCTTGGCGCTGCCCTCTCTCCCTTGCCCCTATCCTCTCTCCCTTGGCGCTGTCCTCTCTCCCTTGGCGCTGCCCTCTCTCCCTTGGCGCTGCCCTCTCTCCCTTGGTGCTGTTCTCTCTCCCTTGGCGCTGCCCTCTCTCCCTTGGTGCTGCCCTCTCTCCCTTGACGCTGCCCTCTCTCTTTTGGCACTGCCCTCTCTCCGTTGGAGCTGCCCTCTCTCTCTTGCTGCTGCCCTCTCTCCCTTGGCGCTGCCCTCTCTCCCTTGGCGCTGCCCTCTCTCCCTTTGTGCTGCTCTCTCTCCCTTGTCGCTGCCCTCTCTCCCTTGGCGCTGTCCTTTCTCCCTTATCCTTGTCCTCTCTCCCTTGGCGCTGTCCTCTCTCCCTTGGCGCTGTCGTCTCTTACTTGGCACTGTCGTCTCTCCCTTGGCACTGCACCTTCGATGGAGGACAATATCAGATCGGCAGCGTAGTCAAGGTGGTGGCTAGCAGCGACGCCAGCGACAGCAGCGACAAGCACAGAGACGGACTCATGAGGAGCAGTAGGGTCAGTGACAAGCGACACAAGGAGCGGACTGGACAAGCGGTGGGAACAAGTGAGAGGAATGGACGAGCGGTGGGAGCAGAGGACAACAAGAGCGACGACGGGGACCAGAGGGGCATAAGAACGAAGCACCATAGGGTGGACACTAGGACGAGGAGATGCAGGACAATCACCACAGGGACGACAGACCAAGTGGGGAAGAACGGGGGACTGGGGACCAAGGGAGAAGGGGGAGAGGACAGGGGATGGAGGAGAGCGCGGGGGAGAACAAGCTGTAAACAGGGTCAGCCATAGGTGGAGAACGTGAGGAAAGACGAAGGAGACGAAGGGCAGACTACGGCTGCTACTACTATTGTTGTTCCTTGTACTCTCCAGGACCTCCAGCTCCACCTCGGCTACCACCGGGACTCCCCGAAACATGACCCCTAGGACAAACGCCCAAGGATGCACCACCCACTGAACAATCACCTCTACAATCAGCACCCCCAGAGCCCGCAGCCCCCAGAATCAGCACCCATCAGAACCAGCACCCCAAAAACAGCTGCTGCTGTGGCCGCTGGGAGCGGGGCCACAAGTCAAGTTGGTGTGATGTGTAGCATATGGCAAACAGCCACAGTAAATGGGATGCACCGGCGTGGACCATGGAGGTGCGAGATACCTCCACGACCAAGCCAATGCATCGCTAAGCGGCCCCATTCTGATGCGGGGAGTCAGGTAGTGTAGACGTCTAGCGGATGCCCTCCACACTACGGAACTATCCTAGACGACCAGAAGCGAAATCGCCACCACGGTCAGAGTGTAATCAAACTACAGGCCGGCGGTGCTGAGCGCGAACAGCAAGAAGCCATGGGAAAAGAACGGAGCTGGTTGCGGAGCTGGTTGCGGAGCTGTGTAGCTGCGGGACAGGGCCTGGGGGTGTGTGGGGGGGTGTGTGGGTCCGGGGTTAGACATAGGCTCAGATTCAGTTTCAAGTCGGCGTTCTAACGAATTTTCGCCGACGCCATTTCCTACTTAGCGGCATTTTGATAAAGCCGTCAGAGTGATTTTCAGCAATTCTCGTCGACCAATTTCCACAAGTGCCGCGCTGCACACCGACAATGGCTTACTCAACCACTTCACTCGCCAACCCGATCCCGCTCCTTCGTCTCGAGCCGGATGGTACATGCTCCAACTACAAGGCTTGGCGCTATGGTGTCGACAAGCACCTCCTCATTCGCGAGGTGAAGGGGCTCGAGCTCACCGACGTCCTTCTCAACATCGGTGACGGCAAAGAGCCTCCTAAACCCGAGAGGTCCGCCGATCAAGCTAATGCCGCCGCCGAAGCAGTTTATGCTGCTGCACTGCTCAAGTACAAGAATTGGGAGAAGGCCGATGGTGCGGTCATTAGTGTCTTCATGGGCACCACTCCTCCCGAACTCGTCGAAACCTACCACAACTACCCGTCTGCCAATGCCATTTGGCTCTACCTCGAAGATCGCTTCCTGAACAGGACTGCAGTGGGAGTTGCTATACTCATCCCCAGCATGTTCCTGTTGTGTGATGTCATCATATGCTATCACATTCTGTCTGCCTCCCATCCCATGTTTTCAACTTGCATGTGTGGTTTGAATGTGAAAGAATTTGTGTGTGGTGTGTTCTGGAATGTTGTGGGGTGACTCTATATGGAGTTGGGACCTTTGGGGTTGGGGAAATTTGTCACTCTACTGTAACAGCTGCAAATTGGTTGGGAACAACCAAGCTAGGTTGGCAAGGGTGGCCAACTTGGATGGATTGGTTGGGAAGGGACAAAGGTCAAAGTTGAGGTTCCTATAGGGAGGGAATCTTTGTGCTTATGGGGTTTCCTTGGTTGGGGACTCTCTTGGGACCTTCCCTCTCGTCCCTCTCTTTCTATCCCAACCTTTCTCTTGCTCCTCAAATTCCTTGTGAGATTCTTGAACTTTGATTGAACTTTTGAGATTGAGTTAAGTTCTCCTCCTACAGCTTACCCCCTAATGCGTCGAAAGCCATAGCGTCGCGAATACTTCATCAATCAACATGATTCAAATTGGGAACGGTAGCTGAGATTAAGAGCTACAACATATCCAAGTTTCGCGACATTCCAACGGCTAGTTTTCTGTCGACGTCGTTTCTTGTGAAGACGACTTTTCTGTCCAGAATTTCGGATTTATATTTTGAGTAATTCTAGCTCCTAAGTTCACCTAGACTCCGTCCTTAATCCTAACAAGTGGTATCAGAGCGATATTAAGGACATTGAGAGGAGTCTACAGAAGTGTGAAGACCCTTCTAGACCCACCATGGCCTGTGGGTGTGCCTAAGTGGTGTTCTAAAGGTTGGATGTGTCTTCCGCTAAGGGGAAACTCTGCCGAAATTTCGTGGACGCCGACACTTGTGAAAATATCGAGGGAGCTGAGTGTGGACAGCAAAGGGGAGCTGAAATTCGTCATTTCTCAAGGAGAAGATGAATGAGAGAGGAGGAGATGCTAATGGAAGAGGAGCTGTAGCTGAGAAGACAAGTGAGCCGCCGCCATCAAAAGTTGAAGCTTTGGATGGCTCCAACTATGAGGAATGGAGCGGACGGATGAGGAGTGCCTTCAAACGCTACAAGCTCCTGAAGATTGCTGTTGGGGAAGAGAAGATGCCGGAAGAAGGCGAAGCACGTGAACGGTGGATTGAGAAAAGCGCGGTGCTTTTCGACCTCATTCTTCAATCGGTCAACAAGGAGATGTTCGAGCACATCAAGGATCTTGTGGAAGCGGATGATTCGGGTCCAAGGGCGTGGAAACTACTACGTGATGTGGTTCAGCCCAACACTCTCCCGATGGTGATCGTGCTCGAGAAGGAACTTGCTGCCATCTCCATGCGACCAGGGGACGATGTGAAGCCGGTCCTTGACAAGATCAAGGACACCTATGCAAGGATGGCAGCAGCGGGCAGCAGTGTATCTCAGCTGCAGCAGTGCACCAAGATCATCTCGGTGTTGGACAACTCTTGGGACAACCTCATCCCCACCCTCAACTCTCAGCAAGATCAATGGACACCTGAGTGGCTAAGGCAGCAGATTCTGCAGGAGGACTTCCGCAGACGCCATGTGGGAGGCGGTGCTGCCACTAAGACTGCTGAGGGGTATGGAGCTGCAGGGCGCAGCAGAGGAAGAGGGGGTTGGAAAGGCCGAGGCCGTGGGAGGAGCTTTGGCAGAGGTAGAGGCCGAGGTGACTATAATGAGGGGCATGGGAGCTCTAGTGGCAGGGGGAGTACCAGAATGGAGGGCACGTGCTGGTACTGCAAGAAGGTTGGGCATCCTTGGTTCAAGTGCTTCAGCAGGCTGGAGGGATGGGCACCTCCAGGCATGAAGCCGCCCAGTGGTGAACGCGCACAAGGTGGCGCTGTGCAAGGCTCAGGTGCACAAGGTGAAGGTGCACAAGGTAATGCCTATCCTGGTTTGTTTGTTATGGTTGAGGATGTGCATGGGCATGAGGGTGATGTGGGATCTGTGGGAAAGGTTGTGATGCACCCTCTCACGCACTGGGTGATTGATTCGGGTTGCACCAGTCACATGACTCCACGGGCAGATTTGCTTGATGAGGTAAAACCCCCTGGGAAGATTAAGTATGTGGCAGCAGCGTCAGGTGCTTTGCTCCCCGTGATTGGTGTTGGGAATGCCAAGGTTAAGGGAGCTAATGGGGAGCTTGTGGGGCTTGGGAATGTTCTGCTGGTTAAAGGCTTGTCTGCTAACCTTCTCTCTGTGCGGCGACTGCAGAAGAGTAAGGCCGAAGTGACCTTTGGACCAACCAGCTGCCGTGCTAAGCTTGGGAAGAAGGTGCTGTGGAGTCTGGAAGAGGAGACCAGCTGCATCAAGGACCTGTGGCAGCTGCCCATCATCCCTTGGAATGGGAAGACTCCAACAGCAGCAACGGCAGCAGCGGCAAAGGCAACAGCAGGAGGAGATGCAACTGCACCAACTGATGGGGTCCTGGAAGCAGTCAAGAAAGTGCAGAAGCAGCAGACACATGGTGAGGTGCTTGCTGGTGTGGATGCGAGTGCGGCATGGGCTAAGGCTTCACCAAGGAGTGGAGAGGCCGATTGGGAGACATGGCATGAGAGGCTGTGTCATGTGAACTTCCCTATGCTGCAGAAGTTGGTGAAGGATGGGAGCCTGAAGGGCTTGGAGGTGAAAGGGGGAGTGAAGGAGATTGGGAGCTGCCCTACATGCTTGGAGACCAAGTTCTCCAAGTTCCCCTTCAACAGCACTACAGGACCAGCCAAGACCCCACTTGCACTTGTGCACATGGATGTGGTGGGGCCCACAAGAGCCCCTTCCCTCTCAGGCAGCCGCTATTTCTTGACAATTGTGGATGACCACACTTGGGCAGTGTGGGTTTACCCTTTGAAGAGCAAGGGGGAGGTGGCAGCGGCTGTCCTTAAGGAGTGGATGCCGAGAGCTCAGAGGGAATGCGGACACAAGGTGAAGGTGATCCGTAGTGACAATGGTGGGGAGTTCATTGGAGCTGATTTTGAGGGGGAGTTGAAGAGGAAGGGGATCCAGCATCAACTGACAGTGCCCTACAACCCACAGCAGAATGGCGTGGCTGAGAGGTTCAACAGGACCCTGCAGGAGGGGGCACGCACTCTCCTTGGGCGTGCAGGGCTGCCTGATCCGTTTTGGGTGTCTGCACTGAGGCAGGTCGCCCTTGTGAAGAACAGGGTGCTGGCTACAGTTGGAGATAAGGAGTGGATCCCATACGTCAAGTGGTATGGGAGTGCTCCAGCTGTGAACATGCTGAGGGCATTTGGGTGCATGGTGGTGTTTCATGTGCCTAAGGAGAAAAGGGGGAAGTTGGAGGCTTCTGGAAGATGGGGTGTGCACTTGGGGATTGCAAAGGATCACAAGGGGTGGCTGCTATGGGACTTGACCACCCAGAAGTTGACAGTGTCAAGGGATGTGAAGTTTCTTGAGTCCCTGTACTACAAGGAATGGAAGCAGCAGCAACAGAAGCTTCCATCTACACCGCTCATTGTGGAGGCAGATGAGGTGCAGCAGCCTTCAAGACAGGTGGAGGTTGCAGTGTCAGAGGAGGAGATGTCTGGGGTGACTGAGGAAGGGGGAGCAGCTGAAGTAGAGCAGCAGCAGCAGCAGCAGCAGCATGAGTCTCCACCTCGAGTTCCACACCCGCCTGAGCGTCCTAGGAGGGATGTGCGCCCTCCTGTGAGGCTGACCTATGGGGGAAGAGGCAAGCCGAATGTGGTGCAGGCTGGGAGTGTGGTTGAGCAGATTGAGGAAGATGAGATCGCTCACTGCTACTGGGCACCAATCCCTGAGTACATGGCCTTACACCATGGGGCCAAGGAAGTAGTGTGGCTAAGGCGTTTGTTGGAGGAGTTGGGAGTTGGTCAGGAGAAGCCGACAGTTGTGTTTTGTGACAATGAGTCCGCTGTGAAGCTCGCCAAGAATGCTTGTCTGCATGGGCTGACAAAACACATAAGGCCTAAGTGGCATTGGGTGAGGAGAATCCTTGATAAGGAGGTGCGGCTGGAGATAGTGAAGACCCATCAGCAGGCAGCAGATATTTTCACTAAGCGTCTGGCGGAAGCGGATCATTGGAAGGGCATGAAGCTTGCTGGGATGAGTGTGCATTGAGTATGCATGCTTGAGATGTGGTATGGTCGATGATGGTTGGCAGCCAGAGGGGGAGATTGTTGTGTGATGTCATCATATGCTATCACATTCTGTCTGCCTCCCATCCCATGTTTTCAACTTGCATGTGTGGTTTGAATGTGAAAGAATTTGTGTGTGGTGTGTTCTGGAGTTTGGGAATGTGTTCTGTGTTATTTTTGTTTGAGCAGGTATTTTGATGATAGATCTTGAGAAGATCTTTCCGACGCAACAAGAATCGCTTCAATCGGAGCAAGAACGCGAAAGCTATGAAGATTCAAAGTTCATGAGCTTGCGTTACAATTGCGGCGGTTACAAAGTGAAGTTGTGGGGTGACTCTATATGGAGTTGGGACCTTTGGGGTTGGGGAAATTTGTCACTCTACTGTAACAGCTGCAAATTGGTTGGGAACAACCAAGCTAGGTTGGCAAGGGTGGCCAACTTGGATGGATTGGTTGGGAAGGGACAAAGGTCAAAGTTGAGGTTCCTATAGGGAGGGAATCTTTGTGCTTATGGGGTTTCCTTGGTTGGGGACTCTCTTGGGACCTTCCCTCTCGTCCCTCTCTTTCTATCCCAACCTTTCTCTTGCTCCTCAAATTCCTTGTGAGATTCTTGAACTTTGATTGAACTTTTGAGATTGAGTTAAGTTCTCCTCCTACAGCTTACCCCCTAATGCGTCGAAAGCCATAGCGTCGCGAATACTTCATCAATCAACATGATTCAAATTGGGAACGGTAGCTGAGATTAAGAGCTACAACATATCCAAGTTTCGCGACATTCCAACGGCTAGTTTTCTGTCGACGTCGTTTCTTGTGAAGACGACTTTTCTGTCCAGAATTTCGGATTTATATTTTGAGTAATTCTAGCTCCTAAGTTCACCTAGACTCCGTCCTTAATCCTAACAGTTCCAAGTGCGGCTCGAGGACTCGCCAGGCATGGCGGACTATGTCACCAAGGTGCAGTCCATTCATGGTGAACTCAAACAGTTGGGGATAGTCTTCCCCGAGCAAGCCCCTGCAGCTGCTCTCCTAGTCGGCCTCACTCCGGCATACGAAGTCACACGCAAGATGCTCTTGGGCCTTGCTCCTGCAGACCTCACATTTGCCAAGGTCTCATCCGCGCTCCTTTCTGCCGAAAAGGACAATAGCGCTCAAGCCAAGGCCAATGCAATCCGCGCTCCCGTGCCTCAAGCCTATGCCGCTTCGGTGCCATTCCAGTGCAACCGCTTCCCCCCGTGTCCCTACGTCATCAAGCGCGGCCCTCGTGCTGGCCAGGTGTGTGGCGGCACCAACCACGCCCTTGCCTCCTGTTTTAAGAAGAAGGATGACAAGTCGTATGCCGTCAATGGGACCGCCTCGAAGTCGCCAAGCTGGATGGTCAATCGTGCTCCTCGCCAAGTCAATCAAGTCGAAGCACAGGAATCCGTGTAGGCTGCTGTGGCTGCACCTGCTGATGTGCGCCTCAACATGTTGTTCCCTGGCACTGCCATGATTAATGAGACGATTTCGCAGTGTCCCGGCTCACAAAGCACCTCAGCCACAATAGAGTTCACCCTCGACAGTGGGGCCACTCACACGGTTCTCAAGGAAGAACACTCCTTCAAGCCATACGAGACACCAATTCGTCTACTTGGAGCAGACTCCAGTTTCACAACACACGCCAAGGGCTCCTCCACAGTTCTATGCCCAGCTTTTCCTTCAGGCAGTGTGACTGGCATGTGTGTTCCCACACTACGCCACAATCTCGTGGCCCAACACGAGCTCCAACGGGCAAGCGTCACCACGATCTTCCCAGCACACTCGGATCACTGTGACCTCTTCGACCCTAAGTCCAACAAGCTCCTAGCATGCTTCACACTCAACAGTAGCAAGCTCTACACGCTGCGTTCACCTGCACCTCTCGCCGCCCTCTCCCAAGCGCAAGCTGCCAGCACCACTCCGTGTTCGTGTCGCAGCTTCGCCAACCCAACCATCCTCTACCACCATCGCTTGGGTCACCCCAACTTCCGAACACTTGCCGACATCGCTTCCAAGAAACTTCTTCTTGGCCTCCCGTCGGCGCTTCCTCCACCAACAGACTCGCCTGCACCCACCTGCCTGGACTGCACCAAGAGCAAGCTCAGGCAGCAGCCGCACCCTTCCTCCCCATCCGTCGCAGCTGCTCCGCTGGACCTAGTGCACATGGATGTCTGGGGCCCAGCTCCAGTCGCATCCCGAGGCGGTCATCGGTACTTTCTTACACTAGTCGATGACCACTCGCAGTATGTTTCTGTGCACCTCCTGCATACCAAGGCGGAGGCACCTGATGTCATCATGGCGTGGGTGCGCCAGGCTCAAGTCACGTTCGGCACTCCTCTGAAGTGCCTCCATTCTGATGGCGGGGGAGAATTTCGCAATGGCAAACTCGATAACTTCTGTGCGGCCCAAGGGATTCGGCAAACCTTCACGCTCCCCGAAAGCCCGCAGCAGAACGGCATTGCAGAGAGCCGCAACCACACCTTGGTTCAGATCGCTCACTGCCTCCTCAGTCACGCCAACGCACCACGGTCACTCTGGGGATATGCCCTCTTCCATGCGGCACTCCTCTACAATCTTTATCCGCATCCCCACCGGCCCGACACCACACCTACCGCTCTCTGGCTTGGGGTCACGCCTTCCGCCCGCTCTCTACGCATCTAGGGGTGTACCGCGTATGTGTTGCTAAGCCCCCACACGCGCAGGAAGCAAGGTGGCAAGCTTGGTCCCAAAACCCAGACCTGCATGTACCTGGGGCACAACTCCGACTCCCCAGACTACTTATTCCTCAACCCAATCACCAGACAGCTGATTCGCAACCGTGATGTCGTCTTCGATGAGACACGCCCATTCCACTCTGCGACCACGGGCGAGCCTCCTCCACCTCCCCCGATGCTTGTTTGGGCAGACTTCGATGCCCCACCTCCGGCCGCTGCCCCTTCTCCGGGGCCTTCTCCGTTCGGCGTGTCTCACCCGGCCTCCCCAGTATCCTCCGCAGCGGCACCTCCTCCTGCTCCGCCTTCCCCGCGCGTCGAGCCCGGCTCACCAGTCTCCTATCGGAGGCGCCCAGTCCCTCCGGTCCCACCGCAGCCGCCTTCGTCTCCGGTCTCTAGTCGCACTCGTTCCAAGGGACCGGCTCCGCCTCTCGCTTGGGGACCAGCCGCCTTCTCCATCCGGTGTTCGGTCACCCCGCCTCCTCCTGCCGGGGGTGATGTCCCCTCCATCCGTATTCCCCCCCGTGCACTTCTGGAGGACAGGCATGAGGAGCTGTTTGACCTTCACGCGGTCTGCCAATTTCTCTCTCACATCTTCCCGGACATTACTGACTGCCCTTCCCTCAACTTCACCGAGAACCCGACCATTCCGACTCCTCGCACAAAAGAGGAAGCTTTCTCGGGGCCTTATAAGAAGGAGTGAAAGGCAGCAATGGATGTGGAGAACGAGGCGTTCATTCGCAACAACAGCTTTGACAATGTTGTTCCCCCTTCCGGTGTCAACATCGTCGGCGGAAAATGGATCTTCCGAGTCAAACAACTCCCAGGCGAAGCTCCACTGTTCAAGGCACGATACGTGGCGAAGGGTTTCACCCAGAAGGAGTATCTCGACTTCTTCGAAACATTCTCGCCCACGGCCAAGCTCCCGACTGTGCGCGCTCTTCTTGATATAGCCGCTCGCGGCAACTTCGAGATCAAGTCCATGGACGCCTCCTCCGCCTTTCTCCAAGGCCAGCTCAAGGAGGATGTTCACATGGAACGCCCACCGGGGTTTCCTGGCACTTACCCTGCCAACACAGTGTGGAAGCTGAAGCGCCCAGTGTATGGCCTCAAGCAGGCTCCTCGTGAGTGGCACAACAAGGTGAAGGAAGTCCTCCTCGCACTTGACTTCCATCCCTCTGCCTCAGATTCCAGTCTCTTCGTTCGTCACTCCTCCGAGCCCTTCTACATCCTCGTCTACGTCGACGACTTCATTCTAGCCGCCAAAGATCCAGCCGACATGGCAGCTGTCCAGTCTGCTCTCAGCTCCGCCCTTCTCATGAAGGATCTTGGTGACCTCAAGAATTACCTGGGGATGGAGATCACTCGTGACCGCCAGGCTTGCATGATCACCCTCTCCCAAGAGTCCTACATCGACAACCTTCTCAAGCGGTTCGACATGGACTCCAGTAACTCTGTCTCCACTCCACTCCCACTACAGCATCAACTCACGGCCCCTCCAGTTCCTTCTCCTGACGCCTGCAAGGACCCGTACCCTGAGCTAGTCGGTTCACTCATGTATGCCATGATGTGCACTCGACCAGACTTGGCTTACCCGGTTAGTGTCCTCTCTCGGTACGTCTCCCCCGGACGCTACACTGCCTCGCATTGGTCTGCAGCCAAGAGGATCCTCCGCTATCTACAAGCCACCAAGTCTCACATCCTCACTCTTGGTGGTACCTCTCCGGTCAAGCTCGAGGGATACACAGACTCCTCATGGGCCGATGACCAGACTGACAGACGCTCCTCCCAAGGGTACTGCTTCACCCTTGGTAGCGGAGTCATCAGCTGGCGCTCCACTCGGTCCTCTGCAGTCTCCCTGTCGTCCTGCGAGGCCGAGCTCTACGCGGGCACAATGGCTGCTCAAGAGGCACGCTGGCTCTCCTTTCTCCTCGCTGAGTTAGGCTACCCCCAGCAGTCGCCCACCCTGTGGTGTGACAACCAGAGTGCCATTCACCTCACCAAGGATCCTGTGTTCCACTCTCGCACCAAGCACATCGAACTTCGTCATTTCTTCATCCGAGATCTTGTTCAGAGTGACCAGCTGACGGTACGATACATCGCCTCAGATTGCAACCTCGCCGACCTCTTTACCAAGGCTCTCGGCAAGGCTGACCACCATCGCCTTCTCCGTTCCATGGGGCTATGTGCTCCTTGATCGGGTTTGCAGTCTATGGGGGTGTGTTAGAAATAGACTGCAAATACCACTTTTGTATTTGTACTTTTATATCCTAGTTTAGGTTATGAATGTTCTAGTGGGTTGGGGTGTACTCACAAATCCCAACCTCACCCAATTGTGATCCCCCCAATCTCCAATTACCCAATTGGAGATTCTGGAGATC